CAGCCATCACTCATCATCCCCACTGACTCACAGCCCCTGGCAAACACTAATCTACTTTCTGTCTCTATAAATTTACCCATTCTGGGCATATCATATAAACTGAATCATACAATATGAGATCTTTTGTGTCAGATTTCTTTCACTTAGCAGATAATGTTTTCAGAGTTAATTCACATAGCATTATCAGTGCTTCATCCCTTTTTATGGCTGAATAATAGTCCACTGTACAGAAAGAGCATACTTTGTTTATCCATTCATCAGTTCATAGACATTAGAGTTATTTCTATTTTGAGGCTATTGTGAGTAATGCTGCTATCAACAACTGTGTCCAAGTTTTTGTGTGAACGTGTTTTCAATGCTCATGGGTATATACCAGGACTGGTAGAGGGAGGGGCTTTAGATTTCCAGAGGAAAGGAATGCAAGGGAAGGGAAGGAGAAGGGAAGAAAGAAAAGAAGGAAAGAAAGAAGTGATGGGCCTAGAATGGTGCTTTGGAGCCAGATGGTGGAATCTAGACTGCCTTGCAGGGGGGTCTGGATCAATTGTGTATGCCTCGGGGAATCTTTGACGGCTCCTGAGTGTTGGAAAACCAACATCCAACCAGCATCAAGAGAGGACTAGCAGTGCTGTGAAGGGCAAAGTGAAGCTGGGAGAGGCCAGAGACAGGAGACACTTTAAGAGCTATCAGAGGACAGAGCACCATCTCTCCACTCTTATGGAAACAGTACCCTAGACTCCCTGTCGGGGAACCACTCCTCCACCTCCTTTGTTGCCAAAACTGAACAGCACGTTACATTTCTCTGGCCTCAGTGACTGACCAGGGATAGGCATGACCTAAGACAGTCAAAACACAATGACTCCAAGGCTTCTGTTGGATGTAGAAGAAAAGACATAGCCAAGAGGGTGATGCTGCTGCAGCCATCTTGCCACCATGAGGGGAAACCCCTCCTGAGAATGGTTCAAACCAGAGGACAGAGCCAGGAGCTGGGGAGAGGTCAGCACCAGGCCACGTTGTCTAAGCTCTAGTGAAGCTAGCCTGCTGCCCCCAGACCTAAACCACAAATATTAACCTCCCTTTTGCAACAACGTGGGTGGACCTAGAAAGTATTATGCTTAGTGAAGTAAGTCAGGGAAAGACAAATATTCTAGGTTATCACTTATATGTGGAATCTGAAAAATAAAACAAACGAATGTATAAACAAAACAGAAACAGACTCAGAGATATAGAGAACAAACTAGTGGTTACCAGTGGGGAGAGGGAGGGAGGAGGGGCAAGACAGGGGTATGGGATTAAGAGATACAAACTAATATATATAGATAAGCAACAAGGATATATTGTACAGCACAGGGAACTATAACCATTGTTTTGTAATAAATTTAAATGGTGTATAACCTAAAAATATTGAATCACTGTGTTTACACCTGAAACTGACTCTAAATCAACTGTACTTCGATTAAAATAAAATAAAATAAAATAAAATAAAAACAACCAATAACACCACCCTTTTTTTTTCTTAAACAAGTTTAAGTTGAGGAGAAAACATAGCTCAGGTAGGAAGGAAAGGGAATTAACATTTCTGAGGACCTACTGTGTGCACTTTGACATAGAGATCACATCCAGCCCTCTAGGCAGGCTCCAAGAGGTTCAAGATCACCAGCCTAAGTAAGCAGTGGGACTTGGATTCAAACTCCAAACCCCTTGTCTCTCCAGCCTGCCATGCTGACCAACTTGGCCACCCAACATGGATAGACTCAAGAGGAGCCCCCGGGAGCAGCCCAGGTGCCTGGGAACCTGGAAGAGGAGGGATATTTGAGGAGAGGTGCTGGGGGAGGTGCCTGGGCCCGTTGGGGGCAAGTTGGGATTAAGCGGGCACCCATGTGGGCTCGCTCCCATGACAGCAGGGATGGAAAGAGCACTCTGGTGAGGCGTGAGGGTTGGGGAGGCTTATCTGGGAGCCACCTGCATAGAGCTCTTCACACTCAGAAGGACCAGGAGCGCAGGGAGGCTGGCTGAGAGGCCAGAGGGGGCGCTTGGGCACCTGGCCTCAAGGTCTGGAGGT